ACCTAATAATTGAAGGAGACTCCAAAGTAATTGTGGGGTGGCTGATGAATCTGGACTTGGTTATTTGGTGTTAGAGGGATCTATTGAAAAAAAATTAAATGGCTAACAAGGGACATGACTGTCAACATACTTTGGGTGAGTAGGTCAGCAAATGATTTGGCTGACTGTCTTGTAAAACAAGTGGTAAACAGGGAAAGCCTCTATTCGGCTGCTTTGTAATCTTAATTCTTCTCTGTTTTGTTTTAATTTTTGATGCTGTATTCACTTCAAGGGTGGGGTTGAACCAGCCTCTTCCTAGGTGGCTTGTATCAGTCTCTTTCTAATGTTAATAAATTCCTTTTCAATTATCAAAAAAAACAGGAATTCAACAAGCACTAATGTTTAATGGAAAGCTTTTCTATAAGGCATGTTTGAGGCTAAGAGAAGAAATCTTAGGAATTTTTTGCTCTGTTCTGATGCTATGATGGTGGTGCAAGTGATACAAAATCTTTTTTTTTTGTTCAGGGTCATATAAATCTTGGTATCTGAAACAACGTTGTCCTTGTATTATTACAATGGTTGTTATTTAGTTATATATCTGTATATACTCAATGAAGTCAATTGAAGTCAAACTAAATGTTTTCGCAAAACTAAAAACCCCTTCTTTCTTTCCTTTCACCTTTTCTTGTTATTACTCCTGCGGCAGCGTGACCATTAAAAGATAAAGTATCCAACTTCATTTTTTCTAGCACCTCCATCTTCTCCTTTCTTAAAGACAAAAGGTAAAAATTTGGAAAAATATTGTTCTATTTCATTTTTATTTTACCATTTCCCCTGCTGTATAATAGGGCCTCTCCTGCTAGTAAACAGTATTAAGAAGGAACAAAAAAGTTTACAGACAAAAAAGAATGATGAAACTCTGCTGCATGTATTGCTAACAGAGAGCCAGTCCCAAATCAAGCCAAAAGCAGAATTAATTACAGACTCCACTGGTCTATTTTCAGTCTTGTTTGGTTCAGACAGAAATTAGAATAAACTGGAATGAGATTTCATTCCTAAAGGAAGTGGAGGGAATGGCCATTCCCTCAAAATGGGGGAATGTCATTCCTACTGTAATGACAATGGGATTCCTCATTCTGGTTCCACCCAATCAAACAATAGGAAACATAATGGTTCATTCCAATTCCGATTCCAAACCTCTATTCCCGTGAACAAAGCAGATCCTTACATCTGCGACTAACGTTTTGTATATTAATACAACCATTGGGTGCCTGACATTGCTTTCTTATGAGAACCCATCAATTACTTCAAAGCATGAGACGCTTTTGGTTGTATTGGTAGACGAGGTTATGTCAACGGCAGATGTTAGTCCCTTGTTGAGGACTCAATGGGTGGGATTGGAAATGAGTAGGATGCACAGAAGGTATCGTATCTCCTCCCAACAAAAAACGTTCCAACATTTTTGGGAGATCTGGCCATACTACAAAGATCCTGTAGTTGGATGGATTTGATTTCACTGCATCTAAGGCTTAGTATGGAAAGAGTACAAATGCAAATATGTATAGTGCAAATACATACAAAATAATATAAAATATAAGATTTTGTACTCTACATATTTGCATTTGTACTCCTTCCAAACTAAGCCTAAAGGGCTTGAAAGGATGTTAAGCAATCATCTCAGCTAATGGGTCATTGGCTTAGTAATGACTTGTTCAATGAGAGCTCAAATCGGGAAACTCTATGTATGTGCTGATGGTCCATTAGCCAAGTTAATCACTCAGCATCACTCCAATTATGGAGGCATGGATCAAATCCACTTAGTTGTGAGCTCTCCCCGGTAAGGTCGATGGACTTCATGTGTACCCTACTCCGTCCCCATCCCTTGATCCCCTGTAATGTAATACATGGTATGATGATACAAAAAATAGACCTCTATATTTTAAAGTACATAGAATATTGTAACAAATTTAGTTTCACATTATAAAGGAATGATAGATCTTTCATATGTAATAGGATTGGACTGCAAATTGCACCTGTTTATTTGAATTTGAATTAAATCGGTTAAGGGTGATCCAAATTCAATATGTTTATATCTGCACTGAATATGGATCTACCCCATCCAAACTTACGTTGTATGTAAAATTAGTTCAAATTTTCTGTTATTAAAGTATCAAATGACAAGTCATTTCAATTCATTTTGTTCATAGTATACAATATCAAAGTCATTTTCAGTTTATTCTATATGATATTTTGATAATTTTTAGTTTAATTTATTAAGAAACTTTCTAAAACCCACCATCACTTTTTTATGAATTCTCTTAAACTCACCATAACTTTTCAAAACGTCTAAAACTCACTATGTCAGTCAGCCAGTGAGATTTTATTTTCTAAAACTCACTATTTGTTAAAACACCATTAAAGTTCATTGACCCAAGTTGTCCACATCAACCTAAATGCAAGTTTCATGACCAAAATGCCCATGAATGGTGAGTCAGCTTGTTAAATATTTTTTTGACCGAAGTGCCCAATCCTATTTCATATATAAGATTCCCACTCACTGAAAGTCTTTCTTACCCTCAATGTCCCAGAGTGTTCTTGCTCTCAACATCAAAGGAAGGGTCTTCTTCTTCTCAACGTCCAAGGGTCTTCTTGCTCTCAACGTCCAAGGTTGTCAGGTATTTCACCTTCATTTTTTTTTTTCATTTTTGCTTAATTAGGGCAGTCAAAGAAATCTCATTTTTGCTTAATTAGAGGCATCAAGAAGAAGCGGCACCACTATACTTCCATGCTTCTTCATATAGGACATTACTTCTCTGTGTGCTTATCCTTCCCTCACTCGTTTCATCATTATAGAACCCATCATTACATGAAAATCTGTTCTCACCTCTACAAAATCAGTGTCATTAGCTACAGCAATAGCACCTTTTGGGCAGCAACGTTTTACCAGCAATAGCTTTAGCTAGCAACGTTTTACTAGACCACAACAGAAATGATGGGAGAAGCACACTCCTTCCCCCTATCTTGTGGGCTGCCCATCCTCCAGGAACCTGTGAACAAGCGTACCCATAATAGAATGTAGAAAGTATAGTTCCCTTGCTTGATTGGTTAATCCCAATAGCATGAGCAGCTACTGAAGTGCAGATGAAGGTTAAAAAGACAATGATATACCGCTTTGGAAAATTCATCTTCTTCATACTTCACTTATAATTCCAGATATGGACATCACAAATAGCTGTTAAACTTTATCATTCTTCACTCTGTTATCCTGTAATCCTTCCTTCCAAGGCTGAGCTTGCTTAGACAATCTGAAGACCAAAAGAAGCAGCTTCATGTCTTCGTAGATAATTAGATCTTCAAGAAAATAGTGAGACATTTAAAGGGGTAAATTAAAGATTTTTTAGGGAAAGAACCTGATAACTCTTCTACTTCCAATACATTTTAATTTGACATGCTGCACAAGAAAGACAAGAAAAGGGATAAACGAAGGAGATATGATAAATTTCAACCATGTTAATAAATCCTTGACTTATGAAACACATCCAGCACCACAAAGTGCTAAACAACTCAAAGGTGTCTGCTTGATCAAAACTTCTTTAGTGCAGATACTGGTAGAGTGGAAACCACACAATGATGGATACCACCTAAATTGGATGGTTACAAAAAGCAGACTTGATATCATTATTTTGATTGCACAAGATGAAAATAAGTTTGTTAAAATGGTTATGATCATGTGCTAGATCTTTTTTATTGAGAACTGATAAACTAGTGGGTGCACAAGCACCAGTTGACAGAATAAAAAAAAGAACCATGCCATTGCAGCCTGCCCAAAAATCAGATGTATTAAATTCATAAGAACCACTCTATCAGACAAAAATAACACAAAAAAAATGAACCATGTCATTGCAATCTGCCCTTTTTATGCCCAAAAATCAAACAAAAAAAAGCACTTTGTGTTCTAAAGTACTAAGGTTGAACAAAACAGAGAGACAGACAAATTTTCTATTGTACTTGGTGAATCAAATCAATTATGCTGTAATCAAATTGTTAAATCCAATTATAACTACGAAAAAAACTAAAATATGATAATGTTTCTCTAAATAGGTTTGTTAAAACCACTTATAACCATCAATTTTACAGGTGTAAAGATAATGTCTTTTTTTATTGTTCCGTAACAGAGTACTTGGTTTGGAAAATATGAATACAATGGCACAACTCTGTTCATGGTGGGGACCATGAATAGATGCATTTGGTCTCACAAGAAGCAGACAATTGATGCAAAAAAAAGTAGTTAATGGATTCCTGCAAACAAGCAAGCAAGCCTATGTTGTCCTTTTATGCCATTGATAGGTTTAAAAGCTCTTGTTCCAACAAAAAAAAAGTGTTCATTTACCTTGAACACTGTAAGCTTCTATTTAAGTCGAATGTGTTCTTCACGGGATGGTGAAATCGTTTTTTTGTTCTTCATGCTTGGTTCTTAGATGGTGACTGGTTTTCTCTTTCGTTCAGACAATTAGGATTTTGGGTTGAAGAATGACGGGGTGTGCTCTTGGTGAGAAGTTGTCCCAGACATTTAGGGTTTTTGGTTTTCTCAAACGATGGGAGAAGCAACGACAATGGTGAGAAATTGCGTCAATATCCCAAAGAATGACGAGGGTGCACTCTTTGTTCCCTTCCGATTGTGTGCACTCTTTGTTCCCTTCCGATTGTTCTTCTTCTCAGACGATGGGAGAAGCAGCGGCAAATTCTCTGGTGCTATCAGCATTAGTCAATAATCAAATCTCAAATCTTCATGTTCTCAGATGATGGGAGAAGCAGCAGCCAATGCTTTCTCACTATTAGGGTTTTGGGTTGAAGAGTGACAGGGTAATTTTGAGATATTGCAAAATGGATCGAACATAATAAAGGGTAAAATAGTAAATTAGTGATGGATTTTAGACAATTTTTATAATTTATTTAGGCTGAATTTGGAAGGGGTATAAATGTATATATATATATATATATATTGTACGTATTTTACGCTGTACATATTTGTTTTGCATTTGTACTCTTATATAAAACGAATCAAATTTGGATCCACCGTCCACGTCCACGATCCACGATCCACGATCCACCTAATATCCGATTCGATTCGAAGCCCTTTCACTGCAGGAGCATCAGAACAATCAGGTTTGGCGCTATTCAACTTCTTTTAACGGCTCCATCCATGCAATGCAAGACCCACCAACGAAGATTCGAAGACTGTCCTACACTTTCAGGTGACTTGATTTCATGGCTTAGTTGCAGTCACAGACATGAACATTTGATTTCATGGCTTTTCCTCCATCTTCCACCACAAAAACCCTAACCCTAAATTCTTCCGAACTCTTCGTCGACTCTTACAAAGCTTTCTCTCAGAAATCTCCTCAAAACTCTCCACCTCGGTCTTTCACTCTTCTCTCTCAACGATCTCCCCTCCCTCCCATTCCATCTGATTTCGCTCAATCCAAACTTATCCCCAAAACCCGTTTTATCGTTGACGGGTTCCGGTACTCCGGCGATTACTCCGTTTCCTATTTCCTCTCTCATTTCCACTCCGATCACTACGCAGGCTTAAAAACTGGTTGGTCTAAAGGTCTCATCTTTTGTTCAGAAACTACAGGTCGGCTTCTTATTGAAGCTCTAAAACTATCTTCTCTATTTGTTATTTCCTTGTCACTTGGTGAACCGGTTGTTATCGACGGGTGCGAAGTCACTCTTGTTGATGCGAATCACTGCCCTGGTGCGGTTCAATTTTTGTTTAAGATACCTAGAACTGAGGGAAAGTATGAGAGGTATGTCCACACTGGGGATTTCCGGTTCTGTGATTCGATGACACTAGAGCCTGTTCTAAGTGAATATGTCGGAGCGGATGCGGTTTTCTTGGATACGACATACTGTAATCCGAAGTTCGTTTTTCCGTCACAAGATGATTCGGTTAATTATATAGTTGAAGCAATAGAGAGAATTAGAGCTGAAAATCAACGGTTGAGGGAGTCTGTGTTGTTTCTAATTGCTACGTATGTTGTTGGGAAAGAGAGAATCCTGGTTGAAATTTCGCGTAGATGTAACTGCATGATACATGTAGATAGCAGGAAAATGTCAATTTTATGTATTTTAGGGTTTGGCGGAGGTGGGATATTTACAGAGGATGTTTCGGTTACTGATGTTCATGTGGTTAGCTGGAATGTGTTAGGCGAGACTTGGCCTTATTTTAGGTCTAATTTTGCCAAAATGGAGGAGATTATGATCGAGAGAGGGTACACAAAGGTGGTAGGTTTTGTTCCAACTGGGTGGATGTATGAAGTAAGGAAAGATGGGTTTGCAGTAAGGACAAAGGATTCATTTGAGATCCATCTTGTACCATACAGTGAACATTCAAGCTACAATGAGCTGAGAGAGTATGTTAGGTTCTTGAGACCAAAACGTGTTATTCCAACCGTTGGGTTGGATGTTGAGAAGCTTGATAGCAAACATGCTGTGGCAATGCAGAAGCATTTTGCTGGGTTGGTTGATGAGATGGCCAATAAGCAAGAATTCTTAATGGGGTTTCACAGGAAGTCTAGGAACAAGGATGAAAAAGAAAAAGGTAACATTAGCAGCGACTCGAACAAGGAACTTGATAAAGAGAATGAGGTGAAGCAATCTAAAGAGATTTTGGAAAGATCACCTGCCCTGCGAGAACCTGATTTACAAAATTCAAGCATGGCAAGTGATAGAGATATGGAGGAGTCAATTAAAGAGATTTGTGATAGCTTGCCACCCTGGGTTACTCGGGAACAGATGTTAGATTTGCTTAAACACACAAAGGGAAATATTGTTGAAGCAATGTCTGAGTTCTATGAACGTGAAACAGAACTGCGTGAGCAATTAACTGCTTCAAACAGGTCTACGACTTCTCAATTGAACTTGTCTACTATTTCTTATACAAGTTTGGCATGCATTTCTTCATCACTTCCTGAAATGGGATCTGTTAAGGAACACTTTATTGGAATTATGAAAAATAGTTTAGTTCAAGACAAGAAGCTATCCAACATGAGGCGTTCAATTAAGAGCACCGTCTCTCCTAGGAAAAAGGCAACAGGTGTGGAGAATAAGTCAAACAAGAAAGCAAAGCTAGGTTCATTTTCAGAATCTTGCAGGTCCGATTCCAAACAATACACGATAACAAAGTTCTTTAGTAAGATTGTCCCTAACGCATCACAAGTTGGTGAGATTGGTACTGATATGGCTGAGCAGTTCCCTGATACTAGGAATGTATTGTCCAGTAACATGAGTGAGTTATACAAGGAAGAGATAAATCAGTTTCTTGAAGTCATAGATGGTGGTCTATCAAGAATTGATGCTGCCTCTATCCTAGAGAAAGCCAAAGGGGATATTCATGTAGCCCTAGATGTATATTATAATAATTCTGGGGTGGATTGTGATGACAATGATGGGAAGTTATCAGTTCAAAGCCAACCTTACATTGATAATTGTTCTTCTGGAAAAGAGACAAAATCATCTGAGGAATCAGAAAATATTCCTAGCCTATTTATGCAAGGGTTTTCAACAACAGATGTGACTGCAACTCTTGTATCACTACCACTAGAGAAGTATTCCCCTGTTGAGCATGGTTCTTTCTCTCTCTCTCACTCTTTCTCTCTCTGGTTAAACAGTTAATTGAAACTGCTTATATTTTCTACTGATCCATGAATAAGAAACTTTAATTTGGAGTCCTTGCACGACACAAACGTGCATTTGCAGCATGCTGGAGGCAAGGACAGCCTGCTCCATATTTACATCTTGCACGAACTTTTGATCTGGTGGAAGGAGAAAGAAGCAAGATAAAAGCTACTGGTATCCTGTGCAACATGTTCAGAAGGTCTATTGAAAGTTGAAACAGTTTATATTTCTTTTATTTGAATTCCTTATTACAGAATCTTCTTGTCTCCTGGGTGGGGGTGTCAATTAATTGGATCATGATCTAGATCTATGCCAATTTAGATGGATCATTGACCCTATACACATTTGTTTATGTATGTATTTAGGTGCATAAATATGCTACTTCATGTAGTATATAGATATTATGTAAAAAATGTGTTTATTTAATCACTCGTATGTGTAATTATTTATTGCATACGCACTATGTAATGGATGCTTTTTCGTTGTTAATCCTTCAAATTTTAGTGTAAATTCTTTATTTGACACCATGCCCATGCCGTGTATGTTAAACAGCATTATAGATAATAACAGACACTTGTCAGTTTAGTTGGCTTTTGTGTTACCTTTACATGTAAAAGTTGTAGTTTACAAGTTTTCAACCTATTCAAGGCATCCATTTAAGGATTGAAAATATTATATCAAGTCTTTTTGGGTCTCATCCCTGGGTCTATGATACCAAAGTCTAATAGTTCTTGTATCTATTATGGAACTAATAAGTATCTAATTAGAAACCTAGATCTCATCCAATTCATGGGCCTACCATAATGTTATTGATGGATTTATTCATGAATTATTTTCTTACGTTTCTTGTTATGGCACAGCTTGCTTGCCTTATCGCCCAAAGAAGTGCTACCAGCTGTTTATTTGTGTACAAATAAGATTGCTGCTGATCATGAAAATATGGTTAGTATATACCTATCTTAGCTTGCACAACCATGAATGTTTTGATTTCTTATTGTTTTATGAAACCAATCCCGCTTTAAGTTTTATTCATTTTCAATGTTACATTGATAAAGTATTAGTCTAATCCTTAGTTCAATGATGAGTAAAACATATGCAGGATGTTTACTACTTGTTGAGCCTCAACTACTCTAACTTCTTTTTTTTTTAATTACTCACCTTATAATTTCACTTTTTTCTTTTCAATAACATTTACAGTTTTTGTTTGAAAAAGAAATGGACAGGCCCAAGTCTCACTCCATATCTTCATGTGAGTTTATTTATGTTGTTTTGACAGCTGTGTTTAGGTAGTTCGAACTAGTAGAGAGTAAGGGAGAAAGAAGAACAGTCGAATCTGATAGCATAAACCCTATCAGTCGACCCTTATTTGAATTAGCCTCTAATTAGTTGTACAAAGACTAAACTACCCCCCACTTAAGTATGGGACAGGAAGTCTCTATTAAAACTGCCACATAAGCACATAACTTAACATAAATAAAATGACTAATCTACCCTTATTCGGTTAGCTCTAATACTCCCCCTCAAGATGGAGAATATATGTCATATAATCCCAGCTGGTTACATATATAGTTCACTCTCCCTGAGATTAAGCCTTTTGTA